CTGGACCACAGAAATTGATCAGAGCAGCGCCAGCGACGACGACAGCGCCTACGCCCTTTTCCGAACCCCACTAAACAAACATTGTGTTCCCTGTTCGACGATCGATCACCATCTCCATCGCTACGGTTGAAGAATGCGAACGCTGAAGGTGTTTTTGAGCAATGGCTATGAATCTTCAAAATAAAGCCGCCTCATTGAACGGTAATAAAACTCGTCTCGCTTCACTCATTTAACTCACTTATACAATTCGCGTTAATCGATCAGCCAGGAAAGCAGTTAGGGGCAAGGCGGATAATTCTGAAAATCGCTTGCTCTCGTCAATGCAGAAAAACGACCACCACAAAACTTAAATCATTATAAAGCTAAAGAAAATGCGCTTTCTAGAGAGAGAGATACATCTTCAACGTCTACATTGAATAATCACCAATGAAAATAGTCAGAAAATTAATCAAAAATAATTCTAAATCCCTGGAAGAAATTTTCGCTCATCAGCTACATCATAAACGTGTTAATGTCGTGGAACAATTAGATTCTATGGGTCGCTAATGATCGATAGACAACAAGGGAGTTGCAATCATGCAACCATAGCTTTTTTCGGTGGACTAAAAGGCTAATTAAGATCTAAGATGAAACTCTTGTGATGATGAATGAAATATCTGTGTAGAAGCGAATAATATATCTAAAACACTGTTTCAAAAAAATCAGGAATTAGTCTGGAAAATTTTGCTCTTGTTCAAACCTCATTTGCTTGAAATAATGACTGAGGCAAGATAAAAGTCAGGTGGTCATAGGCATTGCGTGATGTCAGAATAAGGTCTTTGACTGTGAAGCTTGTGTGCCTACGGCCTGAATATGAAGGCCTGGTCTTTTGAAGTCTTCTCAGAACAGTGTATCATGATAGTACGACTGTTATGATACACTGTTTTGTCAGATAACTTCTTAGGGCCCAAATTATTAATCGTTATAAGCTGTCTTTTAAGGCCTCTCCAACACTTCGCCACATAATTCTATCTTCTGCCTCGTTTGTCCGCATTGAACCTGGAAAATGAGCTCGTCCTGGTTGGTCTGGAGGTATTTTCTTTAGTATCGCATGGAACTCTGTTTGGCATTTTCCAATTAAGAGATAGTCTGTTCATCTTGCAGCACGCTTAGCGAATTGTCATTTCAAATTCTTTGCTCTTGCAATGACAGCACCGACCTCTGATCCATTCGCTTTTATTATTATTTCTTATTGTTATTTCTAAGACTATGTGATTTGCAGTTTCTGAACCGTTTTCAAACGCAGGTTTCATGTTTCGCATCTATACATTAGCCGTGGAAGCTTACACTCATCAAGGATCTCCCGTCTGACACAAAAGCAAATTTAAGAATAGGAACACTTTTGATCTGCTTTAACACTTTAACCACTAAACATTTCAGTGGTGCTCCATGGCGCTTTTATTCTTTGATTTATTTCGTAGTGTTAAAATAAGTGTGATAAAAATGAGCGATATAAAGACTTGCATTCATCGAATATCAGCTTGCTTGAATGATTCTGTAAAATTCTAGATGCAGCAGAAATTGCAAATCTTCTTCTTCTCCTTTTTCGTCGAAGATGACCCCGGTTGCCATACAGGGATTTCATCTGGATCGAATAAATACGTCCTCGTTCTTCAGTCCTTTCGATATCATGTCAGTTCTTATGATATCTTCCTAAATCGTTGGAGGTCTTCCAGATGGCTGCCTGGCATAAGGCATTGCGTTCAATATCCGCTTCATAAGATGGCTATCGTTCATTCATTGCCAATGGTTCCACCATCTTAAACCTCTTGTTTGCAGCCAGTCGGCTAATTTAGCTCGATATTTATAACAGTATTTGACCCCAGGTGTTACCACTTCACTCCTCCTAATATTGATCTTAAAATCTTTATTTTCGTCACTTCAAATTTTCAGTTTTCGGCTTTATTATATTCTGCCTGGTTAAGCCATCGCGCAAGATGTTTAGAATGCAAGTGCTGCATATCCGTAGCTTGGTGCCATTGTAAATATATTTGTTTTTCCAGAGCTTGACTTACTTGTTGAATGCTACTAGTGTCAACCCATGGCGCCTCTCAACTTCGATCGGCGTTGCAGCAATGTCGTGTAAATCAGGAAAGTTATGCATATTTGATATATCGCTAGTATGAAACTGGAGAGCTTCTTGCTCTGATCAGAATATAGCACTAGTTTTAAGCTGCTATAACGTCTTTGCGTGTTCCACGACACAGAAAGTGTAGCTGTGACACTTCAGGTGACATTCTGCAGTGAGCAAGTAAGAAACTAGGCAGTCAGATACCCCGGAATCATGCTAGTCGACTAATTTGCCGGGAAATCTGAGAATAACTGTGCGAAATTCAAGACTAACAAAGAAATTGAGCAAAACAAACAGTTCTGAACGAGCTGAAGAGTCCAGTGCGAAGTGAACGGACAATACCATCAGGACGACCCCATACGCCTTAAATACTATCCCCTTGCTCTGGTTATTCGTCTTGTTCAGCATTACACCGTCTAAAATAAGAAGTACTGCAAACTATATAACAAAGAAAACTTTTCAACAATCTAAGTTCTATGATACTGTCTTTCACATAGGTTCAACTTGCGAAAATAATCTCGTCAACGGCTTCGACATTGGCAACCAGCGTATAAATCGTAGCAGAATTCCACCTTGACAAATTATAGTTTCTAATTCAGAGCCCAACTTAAAAACTGCTGGACTTCCGCAATGTCTAGCAACAGTACTGGGTACATTGAACAAAATCCTACGGCATATATCAAGACCTACGACCGGATGCCGTGCAGTACTCTGTGGACATACCTGCGAACATATGAGACCAATGATCAGTTGCTACGGGCCATCATATCACTATATGTTGAGAGCAGGTGCTGCACTAGACCAAATGACGTTAAGTCGAAGCATTTAAGCGTTGGCACGGGCCTCCGCCAAGGCTGCATCCTGTCCACTATCCTGTTTGTGTTGCACATAGATAGAATAGTCAGGCGCTGCCAGGGCGATGAGGGTATCGGTATAGGAGATGTTAAGTCGAGAAGGTTGCTGTTTGCAGACGGCTAGTTCTATCGCCATCTATTACCATCTTGTTTCATTACCATCTTCAGTGCTCCCTAGAAAGGTTCGCAGCCGAGTGCGACGTCACCGGCATGAGTGTGAACGCATCTAAAACGAAAAGCCTAGTGCTTTTTCGCTCTCCTGCCTGTTGCTCTCTTCAGATTAACGGAGAGGCAGTGGAGCAGGTGGAGAAGTTCAAGTACCTCAGGGTCGTATTTACTGTTAATGGAAAATGGATGGAGATCGAAGAGCGAAGTGGAATGACCACTGGCATCGTACGTGGAAGAGCCTGAAAGATTGTGACTAAATCAGAGGTGAGACTGAAGGCAAAGCTGTTTGCTGGAAAGTCGATCTTCATCCCGATGCCCACCTAAGCTTATGAGTCGTGGACCATGACGGGATAGCTTCGATCCAGGTTACAAGCGGTTGAAATAGGTTTTCTAGCACGAAATGCTGGGCTGATGCATCTCGAGTACAGAGATCGAAGACAGCCTTGGAGTAGAGTCACTCTTCTGCAGATTGATAAGTCACAACTGCGATGGCTTGTGCACGTCTTGCGAATGCTTCCAGAAAGGAAGGCGAAACAGTTACTACTTGCACGAGAGACCGACCGTCAACCTCGGGGACGGCCAAGAAATTACATTTTGCAATTAGATGGACGGACTATGTCCCAGACTCGAGTTATCTTCTGTCAATGCTCAAACTTTAACAGATGACTGAGAACTTTGGAGTTACTGTTTGACCGTCCGCCACCACCTCCATGACCTTAATGGATGAACGGTAATGGAAAGTTACTTACTGAATGAGTTGTTTCGACTATTTGAGCGCCTTCGAATACGTTTGTCAGAATGTAGGTGAGTTTTGTTGTAATTATCATAATGACGGAAAAGCGCTGATAGGCAACCCTACCCCTAAGTAAAGATCAAATTTTTCACTAAACAAACACGTGATATTGAATTACTGACGGCTAATCCAATGAATGTAATTACTAAATTTCGTTTTTACACTTTTTGACAGCTCCAATACGACTATTTGTGAACAGCGAGACAAGAAACATGCGCTAGTTTAGAGCGTTTCTCACATCTCCACACAACTTTTCCTCAAAGGATTAAGCGAATGTGTATTTATCATTTTAAAAATCTGATTGATAGACAGCAAATGTTGTTTTATGATCCATGCGCTTTTCAAAACCCATCCTCAGCGCCTGCGTCATGGAGAGCGAAGGATGCCTAAAGAATTGAATCGTCCCACTTCGGATCGCGAAGTACGTTCAAGTTTAAAGTTTGAAGCCCAGCGTTTTGGACGCCACGAGGGCCTTCCATGGATCACGATGAGGTCAGCAGTGGTATCTGAAGCTGACGCAGCTCGCTATGTCTTTTGAAGCACTTCTCTTTACGAGAAAAACCCTGAATTAATTCCTCGTCAAATAATTAGGTGATATCGTGTGATAAATCTCTGAATAGAGAACGCTAAAATATTTCCTTATCTTAACGGATGCAGACACAGACTGACTAGATGAGTTGAAAATCTTAACCAAAGACATTTCATGAATGATATTCAGAAATTGAGAGGTAATGGAGAGATATCATTCATCCATTCCACTTGGACGTTGAGTACTTAAGTCATTCAACGTACAACTTGCCCAACCACATAAATTAATGTACATTTCTGTTGTCAT